CAGTTTTATCTGAGTTTAACATTAGAACATTACAGGTCTTCCAGGTTTTAATATCCTGAAGGCACATTTGAAGTTTAGCTAACTGAGTTTCACCTGGTTTGATCGATAGATATAACTGAGTATCATCTGCATAACAATGAAAGTTTATGGAATATTTCCTGATAATATTGCCTAGAGGAAGCATATATAAAGTGAAGAGGATTGGTCTGAGGACAGATCCTTGTGGAACTCCATGACTAACTTTGGCATGCATGGAGGACTCATCGTTAACATGTAAAAACTGAAATCGATCTGATAAATAGGATTTAAACCAGCTTAGAGCGGTTCCTTTTATTCCAATGAAATGTTCCAGTCTCTGTAATAGGATCTGATGGTCAGTGGTATCAAATGCAGCACTAAGATCTAATAAAACCAGTACAGAGACAAGTCCTGTCTGATGCAATAAGGAGGTCGTTAGTAATTTTCACCAGTGCTGTCTCTGTGCTATGATGAGCTCTAAATCCTGACTGAAAATCCTCAAATAAACTATTGCTCTGTAGAAAGTCACACAGCTGTTTAGCAACTGCTTTCTCCAGAACCTTAGAGAGAAATGGAAGGTTAGATATAGGTCTATAGTTGGCTAAAACATCAAGTTTGGGCTTTTTCAGAAGAGGTTTAATTACAGCTACTTTAAAGTACTGTGGTACATAGCCTGTTGATAAATATCTAGTATAGAAGTGCTGACTAAGGGTAAAACATCTTTTAAGCAACCTAGTCGGGATGGGGTCTAAAAGGCAGGTTGATGGTTTAGATGAAGAAATTATTGAAGTTAGTTGGTAAAGACTGAGGGAAGCAAAGCAGTCTAAACATATATCTGGTTCTACAGCTGTTTCTAACGTTCCTGAGTTTAGAGATAAGTTGGTGCCAGTTGAGGGCAGGTCTTGGTGAATTTTGTTTCTAATAGTTAGAATTTTATCATTAAAGAAGCTCAAGAAGTCGTAACTACTGAGAGCTATGGGAATACTTGGCTCAATAGAGCTGTGACTCTCTGTCAGCATGGCTACAGTGCTGAAAAGAAACCTGGGGTTGTTCCTATTTTCCTCTATTAATGACGAGTAGTAGGCTGCTCTGGCATTACGGAGGGCCTTCCTATAAGTTTTAAGACTATCTTGCCAAATTAAACGAGAATTTTCCAGTTTGGTGGAACGCCAATTCCTCTCAGGTTTCTGCGATACTTGCTTTAATTTACAAGTTTCAGTATTATACCATGGAGCTAACTGTCTTTATTTTGTTATTTTCTTTTTTTAGAGGGGCTAACATTCTCCATCACCCAGCCAGGTTTCAGTAAGACAAAATAAATATCATAATCTGATATTAGTTCATTTACTAGTACACCTTTAGAAGAGAGAGATCTGATGTTTAAGAGTCCACATTTAATTTTCCTATTAGTTTGCACTATTGCTCTTGTGGTTTTAATTTTTATGAGGTTTTTATGCACACTAAGTAACTCTGCCTCCTGGTCTCAACTCTGGGTTGTCATGGATTTGGTCCACTAATAAACTTGGCTAGATTTCTAGAAATGAGAGCTGCTCCTCCTTCCCAAGTGGGATGGATGCCGTCTCTCCGAATCAGACCAGATCTTCCCCAGAAGGTCTGCCAATGATCAACAAAGCCCACATCGTTTGCTGGACACCACCTCGACAACCAGCGGCGGAATGACAACATGCGGCTATACATGTCATCACTGGTCAGATTTGGCAGGGGTCCAGAGAAAACTACGGTGTCCGACATTGTTTTTGCATATGTACACACCGACTCAACATTAATCTTAGTGACCTCCGATTGGCGTAACCGGGAGTCATTACCGCCGACGTGAATAACAATCTTACTGTATTTATGTTTATCCTTAGCCAGCAGTTTCAAATAAGACTCAATGTCGCCCGCTCTGGCCCCAGGGATGCACTTAACTATGGCCGCTGGCTTCGCTAAATTCACGTTTCTCAAAATGGAGCTGCCAATGATCATTAATATGAATGCATCCTCGGAATAACTCTTTGCTACAACTTCAACCAGGGCAGAGATTCAAATAAGAGTAAAGCGTGGACCCTGCCAAGGTTGGGGGTTTGAGCCCCATTTGAGTTGCCCCATGGTAACTGTAGTACAATTAAGGTGCTGTGAAATGGTTATGGCTAAATGTGCCAGTTAAATGGAAACTCTTAGCCAATGCTTGTCAGATGCATGCAAAGCTCAGCTGGTATCAAGGGTAACATTTTGGAGAAAGTGAGTGCACAAATTGATGAAATGAATACATTTACTTCATAAAAAAAATGTACTAATGCATACTCCTCAAATAATTCCCTCAGTTTCGACTAAAAGAGATACTGGAGTTAAGTAGCAGTAGGAAGTGGAGTAACAGGTTGTTTTGGCTAGTCTGGTCAGTCAGTGCCTGAATGCTGCATTCCATTTACCTCGGAAGTTGGAGGGCGGAGCTGGGAATGACGTCACACCCGAGTTGACGGCATTCCAGTTAACAGGTCGGAAATCCTCGCTCGGTCAGCCATTGTTTACAACTAGTCAGGTTAGCTATTGTTACGCCGGTTGATAAAAAACGCATTGTGCGGTATTTACTCATACTAAACACTGTAGCTTCACATCCACAGACAGCAGTTGGACAGCACTTTGTGTACGAAAAGTCACAAGTAGACAGAAGTGCTAATAAACAGTATAAACTACAGCCATCTTGGATCACAAAGATGGGGTAGTGCAGTTGTCCCGACTTTCAGAGTTGGAAATCCGACTTCAACTTCAACTTCAACAGCATCAACTTCCCATGTCAAATGGAACACACCATTAATATACTGAGGCTCTATATTGTTTTTGGGAATGTGAGGGTTAAAATGACCTAGGGAAGAATTTACATTCTACAAAAACACACAAATTACCAACGGTGGATTTTCATAACGCTTAATTCTGATATTTTTAAGACTTAATATAATAATAAACAAAAGCAGTGGAGGCTTTGAAATATTTTTAAATTAACATTGAATATAATTCCATGATTATGCCAATCATACAATTTTACCAAAAAAATTTAATTTGGTATTTTGTTAATACTTTAACAAGTGCTTTGAAACATAAGTGGAATGGGTGTATCCCTTCACTTGTTATATATCCTTTCCAAAAAGCACCTATTTCAAGTTATCTGTAGGGAACATTTTCCACTTTTACCACTAAATTGACCAAACCAGAGTACCATGCTTGTTTCTAATTGCGTACACAGTGGGAAGCCTAATAGCTCTAGAGGAAAGAAATAAGTCACATCTGTCACGGTCATGCATATTTAATTGATATAAATGGCGTTATGGTGTCTACAAAATAATTGGCAGTGTGGCAATGTAAATGGAGATTGTGCCCAATTCCACAACACTTGGAAACACCAACTCCCCTAAATTATTGCAGGGCATGCGAGATCCTTAAGACAGGATAAACATTTAGGCGTTTGAGAACGACTGCAGTCATTGCTGGAAGATTTCTTCCGTCAACAGGAAGTTTACTTAGGAAATAAGAGTTTCTATCCACAAGTGTCAGATTGAAGAAATAATTATTTTTTCACAGTCTTTCATATTTCCTTTCTTTACATGTTTATTTTATTATATCGCACAGTTTTTAGTTCTGGCAATTTGAATTAGATTACCAATAAATATATATTTTTTGGGGAAAAAACTTGAGTGCTTCAATTATTTAGGGGCTTTGGGGCACGGAGCATGGCAGGCTCAGTAGAGCAGTGTTAAAGCTGAAGCACTTTGTGCTTGCAATCGGAGATGAAGAGGCTATTTGTCTGTGTAGTGTGCAGAGCTGTTATCAGGGATTTGTTTGTGGCACAACTTAATTTGCATAAATTTCTTGGAGAGTAAGATGAAAACTCTGCGCTCTTGGCTAGAGCAGAAGGACCAGATTTTCCTCACAATGCACATATCACCAACCAGCTCATATCATTGTTCTTATGTTGAACTTGAGGTAAGCTTTCAATCTCAACATCCTGATCATGAATCTGTGAGAATACTCATTCCATTATCACCCCCCCCCCCCCCAATATGTTTTCACGCCTTCAAGATCTCAGCTGCTTCTATACGGAGTTTTGGACCATGATATGACTGTATTTAAAGGATAATCCCAGTTTGGATCTTATTTTCACAACTTTGGCCATCATTTATGTTGGTTATGATGACACTGCAATGTAATTGCTGAAATCTGGAAACATGGTGACATTAGTGATGGGAACTTCAAGGGAGCTGGATATTTTGGCTCTGTTCCTTTCCAAGATCCAGCTCTTTCAGCTCCTGATTCTTATTTGTTGCAAGAAATAAATATGTGAGGTTCCTCAACTGCAATACAATGAAATATTCTGTCATGATGTTCACTTAAAAGAGCCAGCTCATAGAGGCAACTTGTTCACGACACATCAGGTGACATTGCTAAAATAAAGTTACCATTACCACCGTGCTGCTGCCAAAAATACTTACATTCTGTTTAAATAACATTTGCTAAAAACTACACTGGCTAACTATTTTGGGTCTTTAAAAAACTGTAACTATATATTTGTGACCTGTTTGTAGGAATCAATGGGCTTGGGGCTGAGAGCCACAGAAAGGGGTAGTTAGTCTTGGTCTTTTTTATGACAATAAGTAAATATAAAATAACAATGTTAATATTACTGATACTAATGTAATGAAGGCCAAAGCTAGGCAATTAAGACACAATTTGTAATAAACCAGAATAATAATAATCCTTTAATAGAAATGTTTTAGAATGATATAATTATGTTTTGATGGATCTGGTTTTAATCACTGAATCCCTGCCAATATGGTGCAGTTATGTAGTTGACCCTGACCTTTGGACCTCTATGGGGAGGTAAGAGAGATAATTTGTGCTTTGGGAATACTGAATATCCCATAAACAGAGACTTTCTGGTTGACTGTGTCCAGGGAAGGCTGCAGGAGAAAGAAAACAAAAAACACATGTAGATCCAATAAATTCTTTTTATCGATTTAAAAAATACATTCATACAGAAACTATTTTACAAAACAATTTCAAATGAAAAAATCTTGTTATGCCATAAAACAAACAAAAATAGAGCCTCATTTTATCTCCACGTTTATCCAATAAAGATTCTCTGGCTAAAGATAGGGTGTCTTCGCAGGTCTTTGAAAAAGTTGAGAGAAACAAAATCACATCAGAATGCATAATTATGACAACTCAAGTATTTTTTTTGTCTGTTTTTTTGTGTTTTGAAAGATGATAGGCCACAGGTGTATACGCAATTGATGTCTTTTTAAACGTACGTTCAATCAAATCAAAAATAAAGATGTTACAGAAGCAAATGAAGGAGAATGGAGTGTGCCTATTTTACAACACTTCAGCCTCTTGTCTTTATTGGTTCATCAAACAACACACTGCACTTGTTTTTGGTCCCATACCCATTCAAAATAGAAGCTTCCTTACAAAATTCTCTTAGTTTACAATGTACATATCTTTGCATTTTTGACATTTCTCAGTGTTTGGACTTTCTCTAATGTTGACCAGTTTCACCTGTACAGTAGTTGAGTTTGCCTGCGGAGTTGACCACTGAGTAACAGACATCAACACGTTTTATGACCACTTAAACTCTTGAAACAGAAAACGTCTTTTTCAATCTTTTCATATTCAACAACATTTCAAAAAAACATGTTATCCAGTAAAACACTGTGGCTCCAAAACGTTTTCTAGAAATAGGAGAAATTGTGATTAAGTTAATCCAATTGTGAAATTGAAGGGATTTCAATAAACAGAACTTTATCAAACGCACAGAGAAGTGCGCTGAAGTCATGTGCGGTAACTGAAGTTAAAGCATGCATATAGTGAAGTTGGTACAGACATATACTTGGTCCTGGTCTCATCTCAGTTCAACTGCAGACACAGACAGAAACCTCTAGACCTGCAGCACAGCTCAGCTGAACTGGTTAGGCCGGTTTTGGTATTGTTTAGTCAGGTCACGGGTTGTTTAAGCCAGGACTCAGTAAAGATATTGACTCACCCCAAGGGCGAGACTTCTCATTACATACAACATCGAAACAGACTCATGACTGAGAATGTTGTCATTATTCTAAAACAGACTGTAAGCTTCTGACACATCAACAGATATCAATGACCCAAGCGTGCTGTAAATGGTTTCTTTGCATTAAATCCTAATTTGTCACAATCTCAGTGGCTGAGTATGCCACAATTCATGAGAACATATTTCCAAGACAATGTACCTTTGACAATGAGTTACAGTCCATCTGAAGTGCATCCACACCACCTTACACTACATAGTAGTAAACAAAATGGGATTGCTTTTCCAAGTGCTCCACAATTCTGTCTCAGACCTGGGTCATTTTGGGGACCATGAGTTAGTTTTGATATAGCTGTGATATATTCAACAAATAATACACAGATGTAAAAATGGCAGTCATTACGAAGCTGATATATAGATTTTTTTTTTTTTATTCAGGAGTGTAGTCTGTTGCGAGACAAAAGGGCAAAGGTGCGACTGTATGGATCAGACCCTTTATAAAGCAATTCAATAACGCACTAGTGCATTTGCAACCTCCATTTGGTTTGTGTACGCGTGTGTGTGTGTGTGTGAGTGAAAGAGAGAGATCTATTTAACAGGACAAGGCCACTTACATAAGGCATCAGTAAGGTCAACAGTGCATTTACAGATAGAACAAAAGAGACAAGCAAAAGTGAAGAAAAAGGAACAAAAATCCCATCAAGACAGTTGCCAAGCAATAGTGGTATCCCCAACTAAAAAATGACTGCCTTATGTGTTTTGTACAATACTATGATATTGAATAATATGAAGGTAGCTGCTCTCAAATGGAATTTTGTTGTCCTATAAGCAAACAGATGAGCAACACATCCCCAGATCCCATGCAACTTCTGTTATAATGGCAATAACTGTGTACAACTGCTTTTTTTTCTCTTTTAAAATACAGAGCTTACACAATGGACAACAAAATGAGCTTTATAGCATGTATGTTTTGAGACAGGCTACATAGTACATTGCACATTTAATAGCTGCACTAAACAAAAAGTCCTCCAATGTTTCAAGAGGGGGCTGTAGTTCGACCTCTGGACAGAAAGGGGGCGCTCTCTAGCATGTCAGCTCCACCAAATAACCCCTTACTCCCCTCCACAGCCAACAGACTCAAACAGCACAGACAGAACCACGTTTTTCTTGCATTCATTCTCATTGAGACCACAGATATCCCCCCAAAAACCTCCCTCGCACAACATCAACCCCTCCGTGTCATTCACTCGCAGTTCCACAATGCAAGCTCCATCCGCTCCATAAAGCCAGCACAGGCATCCAGTCGCAGGCACTCACAGACCCCATGCGCTCAGGCAAACACACTGTCATTGGAGGAACCACACCCCCACAGGAGTCCCATAATCCTCCAGGAAAAAAGCATCGACCACCATACAGAAGAGTCTCATCCCGTCTTATCCAGCCCAGATTTTTCCCATTTTTAAAAATGTCCTCAAGTCTCTCCCCGCCCTCCCGCTCCTCTGTAAAAGCCTTTCAAGAGCAATCTCCACAGCGAGGTGTTGGAGGCACTAAGTATGGTGCAAAATAATAGCCTGCGTTGCTTCATCTTTTTCCACTGACTGGAACACGGTGGTGCCCCTGTTAACGCTCCCAGGACACACCGGCCTTGCTGATCCCCCCACAGGTCAGGACAATCAACCAGACTCATCCCTCTGAGCTCACAACACGGAGGCCATCTTAGATGTGCCTCTTCATGTGCAGCGCCAGGTGGTCAGAACGGGAGAAACACCTGAGAAGGGAAAAAAGAGAGAAGGTTTAGCTGTTGAATTTAAGAACTTCTCCTATATGAATATAGTTACGCTTACATGTAGTGTTCGAAACCTTTGCTGTCGGATTTCGCTTTGCACTTCTGTGATTCATCAAGTTATTAGAACTTTTCTGAGTGTTCATGCATTATTCCCAAGCAGGAAGCTTCCGGTCAGAGACAAATGCGAATGCGTTAGTCCCTTAAAACTGCATTTTATTGAACGGTCAGCAGGGGGCGACTCTTCTGGTTGCAAGAAGAAGTCCGTTTGCATTAGAAATAATGGTAAAATGACCCTACTTCTCAGCTGATTTATTACCTCAGTAAACACTCTCAGCATGAGTTTAAGGTCTCATGATGGTCCCATTTAGAGGAAAATAGACCAGAAAGCAGAGTATATCTGTGATTGACAGAGTGACTCGTACCCGTGTCCATTTAACCAGCGCCGTTGAAAAAGCGTATTAGGAGTCGGCTGTTCACTTTCTCTGGTGAGTACATTTAGTTTTAAGCCTGTTGTTCGCTAGACAGTTCTCAGCCCTGTTAAAATGACAGTTAACGTGAACTACAGATGCACCTAGCTAAGCAAGCTCCACACACGGCCGTTAGCTCCACCGTCTCGTGCAAATATGGTCACGTCCGGTGACGCTGGTAGCAAAAAAATCAACACTGGCCAAACTCGAGGCTTCTTATCAAGTGACACCAATTAAACAAACATTGTATAGCTCCAATTTCATGAGAGCACAATCAACTGCATGATTCTTGAGTTTGGATTTTGTTTACATAAAACTGCCAGCAATTGTGGCTTTGTAGCCATTCTGCCACCTGTTTGTTGCCACATGGTAGATCTTTTCACCCAACTAGGAGATATCTTAGCTGTCAGAAGTTTCTGATCTCTTCGACCAGGAGGCTGACCTGAACAATTTTTCCTGTAGGCTGTATGATATGACAAACGTGGCAGGCTCAGGGACAAAGCCCAGTCTCACTCCCTGCGCTTCTCATCACAACACCTTCTGACTTATACACATTGATACCCCATTTGACTCTTTGCCCATCCCTTTGTACTCAACTGCACAAGCTGCCATTCTATCAATTTAATTTATTATATTTATACATTTTGTTTATTATGCACCAATACACTTAAGCAAATTCCTTGTATGTATAAACCTACTTGGCAATAAAGCTAATTCTGAACTCACTTTTCATCCAACCCCTTGACCTCGACCCCATTCCATCAGTCCATCCTTGACCCTCATTCATCCCTCCAACTAACATGTCATTTTGATAAACTAATTACCCATTTTTGTATCTGTTGGACATCATCCATTATGTTTTATTTCAGGTTTATTTAACAGGGATAATGCACACTAATAATACATAAATGTATAATGAGCCAGAATTAGCTAAAAGGCTATTTTACATCTGCATGTGTCAGCTAACACGGACATTTACTGGCTTTCCAGCACTCTCACCTGTCGCAGTGACTGCATTTGAATGGCTTTGCTCCAGTGTGCTTCCTGAAGTGTCTGGTGAGTTCATCACTTCGTGCAAAGCGCCACGCACAGCCCTCCCATGAACACCTGTAGGGCTTCTCACCTGCAATTATCACCAGGGGAACAAAACATTTACATTAATCATGAAGTGCATTCTTTGTCAAAATTTCTAAACCTTAGAAAGACACCATTGTTAAAAGATTTCTGCATATGCTCAGTCACTCAGCAGGTTCTGTGAAGAGTTCACACTTAAATGCTTCTAGAGATACATACCAGCCAGTCTAGAAACCGGATATTATTGCTACTGAATCTTATCTCTTTGTGTCATTTTAATAATTTGCCCTCTGACAAGTTCTATAATTGTAGTAATTTTGAGTTGTTAATTAAAATGTCCGAATGTGACATTTTGAAATTCCCCTTCTCAAATATATAGCCAATATTTACAGTTTTTACTTGTATTAAAATTTAGGTTTTACAAGGCTGACTTCAGAGAAATGTGATCCTGTACAAGTAAGTGCTAAGAAGATTGTACTGACCACTGTAAGAAAAACAACCTCGTGCCTTGTGGGTCTGGAGAGCTGTGGTATGCAGCTTTAAGGAGCTGCTTGAGCAGACGGCTTATGTAATGGGGGAGAGCTGCGGGGGAAAAAAAGAGACTGTTCCTAATGGTACTAAAGGCCATTAACCATGTGGCTAACATGGTCGGCAAAGGATGCTAGGAATGTGACTTCCTCTGCTAATGGGCGGCACAGCTTGGCAGAGGTCAAAGGTGACGAGGGAAACCGCTCACATTTGAACCCCAGACAAAACACTGCAAATGTCAGATTCCCACAATTTCACTGTGAATGCAAACGGGCGAGTTGCTGAGTCTTTTCCCATGGTGAAATCTGAGAACTGTTGATTTGTTTTCAGGATCCACATCCTCTGGGTGCTACTTGGCCACAAAAGAGCATCCCTCCCCCTCCCGTGTTTCGCTCTCTGCCTCCCTTCCCCCTAAATGAAGTCACGTTCCTCTGTGTGAATTAGGTCACAGTTGAGGGCATTCCTCCTGACAAACTATGCAAAGTATGTGAGAGCATTTTTCAGCACTCAGATCAAAGTTCATTTAAGGCACTTCCAGGAATATTTCACTCTTTTCTTCTTCTAGATTTGGTTTTACAGTGCAAAAAGTGGTTTAAAAACATGATGTCATAACCTGTCAGGGCAGTAGTCCCCCCCCCCAACACACACACATTTGCATGGTCTCACTGCAGAACATTTTTACCTGTGTGCGTGCGCTGATGTGCTTTGAGGTGTGAGCTCTTGGTGTACACCTTCCTGCATCCGTTGAACTGACACCTGTGCACCCGCCTCCTGCCGTCTGGTGACGCCTCCCCGCTGGTCAGCCCCGACCTCTCCAGGGTCCTGTCTGTGCCACCAGTCCTTATTTTCCCAGGTGAGTGCAGAACAGTCTGTATCCCACTCCACACCTGGGCGACAGAGCCCTCCTTGCCCAGCTCAGGTGAGGACGGCGGCGTGCTGATGATGGCGGATCCCAGGTCTTCGCCACTGTCTCCCAGAATGTCAGTTAAGGAGCTGGAGGAGAAGTCGAGGGTAGGGGAGAGCTCCTCAGAGCTGTCCGAGGCCTCGCTGCTGGCATCGGAGTTGAAGCCGCCAGCGTCGTGGTTCTGGCTGTCCTGATTGTCTTCCTCCTCCTTGATGTGGGAGATCTTTGGGTCCGGCTCGTTTGACTTGTCCCCGCAGGCCAGCATCAGCTTGCTCCACAGGTCCTCCTGGCTCTCAAATTTGAGGTCAGTGGCTGAGACGTAGGGCTCACTCTGGAGGTACCTCTCCAGCTCGAGACATGTCTGTGTGGAGGGAAGTCGAGACAGAAGCTCAGTGCCTGAGGCCTGTAACACAACGCTTTAACTGGAAAGTCCCTAAAAGACCAAAAAAAGTGATTTGTTTTCACGGGAAACAAACTCTGGTGTCTTCTATACACTGTGTTTATTCTTAGCAGCAGCAGCAGGAGGGGGAAATGCTGTGACACTCTTGCACCACTGGCCGCGCTTCCTTCCTGCCTACAGGAATGAGGCACAACACAATGTCCTATGCAGAGGATAGTCAAGTACGTTTTAAGGTTGCCCTCTGAGGCCATATCAGGGAAGATTACAAGCACCACATTTCCTTCTGAGAGCATACAAGAACAAGGTGCTCTTAGCCGCGAACGCTTGCACGGTTGTGTGTCAGTGCTTGTAGGTGTGCGTTGGGGTTGGTCATGAAATTTACATATGCTACAGAGCCCCCCATTGGGTTAGGGAAGTGCTTGTAGATCTTTTAAATCTATCAATTATTCAACATAATGTGGATTTAATAATGCATTTGGAGGCATCGCTAGAAATAACATAGCACACCAGGGACTGAGAGGAGGGAGGTCTGGTTCACGGGGGTTCATAAAAAGCCCGGCATGAATACTGCAAGAGCCGCTGTGGATTGTGGGGATATTTTCTTTGAAAAGGAAGTGAGAGAGCACTTCCTCAACCCACTGCAGTCAGCGAGCACAGGCCAGATATGAGGGCAGCTAACAGGCCTGTGCAGTTTCCTAATTAAGGAGATTATTATGTGCAGCTGAGTTTTATTATAACAGAAGTGAATAGACCAACGGTACCCCCCAGCTTGTGGTCACTCAATAAATCTGAAAGGTCGCGAGATGATTAACAAAATTATATAATTTTTTCAGACTTTTCTTGAACCTTTTTAAGAGTCGTACCTCTACAGGACACTAAGAACATTGCAATGAGACTCTCTGAGAAGGGGATATCCCTCTTTGGCCGCTCACAGCTGAGAGGCATATGCAACATAAAGCATGCCTACATACATTTTATAGAAATACTATATTAAAATAGCAGAAGAACAAGCAACACCATTATCCAGATCTTATAGCAAATACAACTATGGATTAAAAATGTCCATAAAGCATGGTATGGTGTCAATAAATCATATATACACTTTAAGTCAGGAACAGATGGACTTTAATGCCTATGGTAGAAAAAGGTCACTCCAACTTATCACCAATACACTCTAAAATTGGAAAATTGTGGGGACATTGCAGCAATTTAGTAATGAGAGAATGAATTCAAGGCAAATGTTTCTCGTCAGCAGTGCGGTATAAAACTGCACTGTTCTGTCATCCAGGGGACGCTTTGCCGAGCCAAATTGGAAGAGAAATCAGTCTCTCTCTCTTTCTGTCAGTCTGTCACTCTCTCATCTGTGTGTGCGTGTGTGTGCGTGTGTGTGTGTGACGGGGGGGGGGGGGAGGAGATACGCGCAAAGACGCACGGCTCGCCATTCAGTCGCTAAATCTGTAACACAGCCTGTTTTTATTTTATCACAACCCGACGTGCCTCTATAACCTGCAAGCAGGACCCGAAAATATCTAATATAACAGCAAACCTCACCGGAGAAACAACTACAAACATGCTAAAACATAAAAAAAATAATAAACACAGTAAAACTGCAAGTCACTTCAGAATTATTCTGGGAATATTACAGTGATATTTAAAGAAATCGAAATAATTCCATAAAGTAGCCAATAGCACGGTACCTAATAAGTCCATATTTGGTACCACAGCCACACTATTACAGCATATGGTAGCATCATAAGAATATTAAACAGATCTGTCACTAAGGGAACTTGGATCGCTTCCCCTATGAACGCGACTTTTAACAGGGGAACTGATATTAACTGTTGAACTAAATCAAACGTGTTCCATAAACAACTTTGACATTTGCACGTCCACGCGCAGCTGTCATCTGAAAGCAAGTTTACCGAAATTGCCCACATTCTTTGCACTTCTATGAAAAACAATCGCACATGAGCACGGGACGAGCTGTCAAGCTGTGTGTTGTGTGGAGGGAATAACTCGTTACCTGCTGCCAGTACTCTTCCAGAGACGGTAAAGCTGAAAAGTATCCGGTGTCGTGCACAATTTGGAGCTCCTGGAAGATGCTACACATAGGGATGACATCCATTTCACACCTAAGATGCAGCCACAAGTAGAAGCGAATTCAAGCTTGTAGAGAAAACGAAGCCTGTTGTGTTCGGAGAGAAGCTGGAGTCTTGGCTGTATCTGCATGTATGATCGTCGGGACTAGTGCGCTTCCAGTGGAGGGCTTGAGCGTGTGACGCACAGAGAGCGCACAACACTGAAGTCTCCAAAAGTCCGTCAGCGCACTGTAAACTTCCCCCCGATTCAAAATTACAGACAAACCCACCCCCATGTGATTACATTACGTTTCGGCGTGTCTACCAATGGGCTCGACGGAGCGTACCACCCGCCTACCAGACCACCCCTGGCCAATGCTGAGACAGAGCCGACTCATCCTGTCTGTTGTGGTTGGCGCGCGGTCCGAAGCGTCTCCTGCTCCCATTGGGCTAAATCAGCGCTATTTTTAGAGCGCTATATAACCCGGACTCCTCTCGTACCAAAACTAGGAAGTCTCGTCTACTGATTTAAATGCGAGCTTCAGCTTCTCCGTAGCGGCGGCAACCGCAGGAGAAGTGCAGGTTGCCACTGTGAAGCAACGCTTCGGTCTCTAAATAGACACACCTTTGTGATATTTCATCACACGTACATTACGGACGTCTATTCTCTTGGCGAGTTAAGGGTTGGATGTAAAGAGGGAAGTCTGCAAAGAAAGATCCACACTGGTTCAGTATTTAGCTGCCTGTAAAGCGCACATCGCGGCAATAATAGTTGGTGGTGCCTGCAAACTCAGGGGGACCGTCAAAGATCGGATCAATTTCTGTGGTCTATGAAACAAATCAGATAGAAATCTTCTCATGGCTGTCCAGAGATCCATGAGGATTATTATGAGCCTCCCTGTGACAGTGGAGACAGTTTAATAAGCTATTAGGTTATAATAGGTTTGCCATAAAGATGATTATTCGCAAAATGCTGTACAGGTTATTGTAGTGGTAGCAGCTTAAGGCATATATCATGAGGGACATGTTTGCTTTTGCTGGAGATAATATGCATTTGTATGTGTGTGCTTGTCTTGGTTTCATTCTCAATCACTTTAGAGTTGTGGCTCTCTTTCTAAGAAAGCGAGCATGCTTCTCTTGCAGCAAAGCCTGTTTACTATTCGTGATTACGATCATGAAACCACATCATCGGTTTACTTGTTTCCTCTAGCAGCAAGGAAGACGTAAAAAAGCGCGGGCCACCCATGGTGCATGGTGAGAGTTTCTAATACAGGATCCCAATATATATCTCTCACAGCTCTAGAGTGACATGTTATAAATACACACTGGCACTCCTCCAGAAATGTATTTGCCTTTCCCCCTCCTTTTAATGTGAATAATCATTGCTATGCGGTGATCAGTGTTCCACCAGATCAAAGAAGCATGAATATTAATCAGAGGTAATAGGCCTAAATGTTGATATATGAAGAGAATGTCTTCGATATGTGCTCTGCTCCAGGCTATATTATGCTGTTAGCATAAAAACTTCATTTGTAAAATGTTACATCCACTTTGGAAAGAATCTCCTTAGCTCATTATTCCATGGCTTTAAAATACAGGTGATGCAATCTAAAATAATTAAGCTTTGATATTAAGTGAGGAGTTAAATTGCCTTCAATCAGTTTGAATGTGTGCTTTATCAGTCGTCAGCCTTTTCAGCGGAGAATGTTTTATTTAATCCAACTCCATCAGTCAAAACACTGACTAATGCTGAGCTATTATTAATCTCACTAACGCCCAACATACAAATACATGTGAGTAAAACTATATATCCAGTTGCATAAGATGTGGGATAAAGTTGAAATCAAGTGGAACAACAGCGGCATTGATGAGTTAAAGGCAGGCGATGTGACAAACAACATATTTGGAACAGAGCGCCATTGTTCGACCCATCGGCCCGGTCGAGCGCCTCCACAACGGAGTCTCTTTTGTTGAGATCTCAGCTGTGGGCACAGTTGCAGCACTCAGCAGCATCACATTCTGTCATGAGTCTATGGGGTTCAGAGACAGAGAGCACATGGACAGGTCTCTGTTGTGACACAGATGAATTAGAAGTATTAGAAGGGAAGAGTCATGCTTCCCTAAAGCATTGATGATTCATTGTTGACCTTAAACATTGGAGAGAGACAATGGAATTGTAATGTCAATGCACATACTGGATGCACTTTTAGTATGAAATACTTTTTTATGCAACATACAGTTAGAGAAATGCAACAGGGTTTGGGGAACTGACCTGTGCATTCATTTAACTGTTAAGTGATAGACCAAAATCATTGTTCTCCCCCTGGCAGATTATTGGCTCAACAAAAGCATACAAAGGCTAACACAGAAGTATGTGCTATATGCTATGATAAAGATGTAATAGAAGTACTTTTACTTTACCAAAGATTCTAAACATGTTTTAGGTGTCTCGTCAACATGTTTTGTTTTTTGCAGTTTCCTTGTGCATTGCAATGTGGGACCCTTGGCATCATCAGCACACAACATTTAAGCAGATATGTGTACGTATACTGACTTTTAGTACACTTAAAACTCTAAACTTGCTTAGAATTCACATGCAGTACGGAACTGGGACAAAGCTCATGTTAAATACATTTTAATTCAAGGGGAGGATGCTTTAAAGGATTTGTTTTATTTTGCTTCAGTTATTTGCTATACACATTCATTTCTATGTAATGTCTGTGAAACAACACAACTGACTTCCATTCATTATTACTACAGTGGTTTCTGATTTGAAACTCATGTCAGTATATTTCTGCACCATACTGACACCTCTTTCTAAAGTGATACTTTTGTTCTGTCATCACTAAAAACCCTTTGTTCTCCCCAGTGAAATTCTGTGTTTAGAGTCTCTGAACCAGTGACATCAAATTGAATTCCTGCACATTTCTTGTTCTTGGAAGTAGGAGTCATCCTGACTCTGATGCAAAGCATGCGTATAGAATCAGTGCAGTTGCCATGAAGCAGTGACTGATGTTTGTGGCAATGCACGTGGGATGCTGGTCTGTGACAGCATGAATCCATAGCAACAAAACAATGGGCATAAACAGCATGCAGATAAGCAGTACTGCTCTGTACTAGTCAGGTCTTTTTTATATGTGTATTTGTATATATTCTCATGCACTGCACTGTACTCTGTATGTGCGATTGCTTGATCTACTTGAGAATGTATTCATTTAATTGATTGCTACTTGCCTAGTTCAAAAAATGCAAACAATCTTGTTGCAGAAACATACATTTTACAACATATAAGAGCAACACAGCATCCTGTACAGAACAAGGGGACAGGACAAGATGTCTAGGTTTCTTTTAAATTCTATATAGACATTTAAGTAGAAACTTTATCTTAACTTTAATCTTATCTTCACACAACATCCAAAACCATAGCTTTAATATTCATACCACAGCTGAAAACCACATCATCAGAAAACACAGGACCTACATAAGTAGATACAGACAAATGCATACATGTCTATAGGCCACAAAGTCAGTCCTTTTGTGTGGGGTAACCACAGAAAATGTCAGGGGTCAAGCAGAGAAAACCAACTGTCATTTCTTATCCAACACACAATTTAAAATCCTGCATTTGGAAAGCGTGCCAAAAAATGGTCACTCACTTTTAATTAGCTGTCCTAAAATTCTTTGCACAGCAGATAATGGCCAGTTCTTAATTTGCAACCAGTGTCTGGTGCCTGATTAGAGATCCACAGCTGCAATTAGTTTACAGACGTTTTGTTGTTACCATTTGGAAAGAGTAGTCAGATAGGCTAATAGTATATGACAATGATTTAGAAGCTGTGCATGTTGTGTCTACATTTGTGATTGATCGTCTCGCAAATGTATGCCATTTGGTAGGATTACCATTTGGATGCGTGAGAGAGTTGATTTTGCATATATTCAACATATTCAGTGTGTGGCACCCCAACTGCCTGTCACTTGAATCTAATCAGAATGCAAAGATATTCCGGGTGAAGAAAAGTACAGTGTATGTATTAGCGTAGAGCAGGCACAATGAGCAACAGTCTGTGGAGTGGCTGCAGCAAAAACAAGCAGAGTTAATGTAATTGGTTCATGACATCACATGTCTAAGTGATCTTAGGTTTAGATGCACTGTAGATGAATCAGAATCATAAGACCTTGGTCATTAAAGGGAATGGATTCCTGTCAGCTGCAGCGTTAGAGAAGCAGACATGTGACGAGAATGCTGCTTTAAATCCTGAGGAAACTGAATGAGACATGTTCTTCCCTTCTGCGACACCTGCCCTTAAAGTGCTTTTGAACAAGGTTTTCAATCCCCAACAGTCCAACAGTACGAGGTAGTTATTTTGCATGACCTGAGTGAATGCGAAACTCAGAGCTGAACACGAGCAAGGGGACTCAGTCCACTTTCCCTGGCTGAGTAAGAACTGTAAGGGGGAATCAGCAAAGATCCTAAGTGATGTTTACATGGTTGCTTGAAAATAAAAGCCTTGCTGCCTGTGACTAAGGCAATATTCAAAACATAACCAAATAAAGAGAAGAGAAGAGCTTTACTAGGTTACCGCATTAATTGCTAAGGTTTCCATTTTGTATTCTAAAAGAGACAAGTTTTAGGCATACTTGTGCATAAAGGCTTTACAGCGAGCCCACACAATGCTGTGCTGTAGACTACACCATAGGTGATGTTTATCTTCTCAAAAATGTAACCACATGTGGAGGCGGTGTCGCCTACAATGATACCACTTGGGCAGGGTTGCCAGATATGACTGAGACCAAGTAGCCCAATCAACAAAGCCACAAACCTAACCAACTGTAGACCAGTTTGTTTTATTGTGGATGTCTTGTTTTTTGTCCATCTGACTTCTCTTGTAACAGACCAAAATCTCATCGAGCCTATTGAACTCCTGTCAGTCTCACAGGTTTGTGCTCATTTCAGAAGAGGAGGGACAGATTCTTCGGAATACAGCCTTTTCTTTGGAAAACTGGCAAAATGGAACAAGTAGTGGCCCAAATGATGATTTACACGCCCAGTCATACAATGACAAACCCCAATCTGGCAACACTACACATGAAGACCTCAAGAGCTGTGATTGGCCAGTTGGACTGCTTGTTTTTTTTCTCCAATAAGTGTCCAGTGTGGATGATTGTTGATAGTGAAGACAACATACAGACAAGAGAACTGTAAACTTTCTGCCTGCTACAATTGTCTCTCTCTAGCACAAACACAAAAGCTATAAAGG